TGCTTTGCTCCCAATACTTCCTAAGGGGGTGGTAGTCAAGGGCAGGCAGAGGGAACAGTTCTCATCACAATGAGCAATCACTGCTTGCAGGGGTAATAAGGAGCAAACCAAGGGGGTTGCCTGTTGTGGCTCAGTGGTACAGCACTTGCTTGTACAAGTAAGACCCTAGGTGGAATTCCCAGCTCTATTTTTAAAAAATGGGGGGGGGGCTGGGCAGTGGTGGTGCATGCCTTTAATTCCAGTGCTTGGGATGCAGAGACAGGTTCTCTCTGAGTTCGAGGCCAGCCTGGTCTACAGAATGAGTTCCAGGACAGGCTCTAAAGCTAGAGTAACCCTGTCTGGAGGTGGGGGTGGGAAGAATCATGCTGGCCTGTCATTGACTTTAAAGTTCCAGAAATGATTGCACTCATGACCCGCATCCAGGTCGAGCCCCTGGAACATGGAAATGTTTCTGTCTCCACAACCTACCTTCACTCTCAGAGGCCTCAGGCTCCTCCATGGGTCCTGATCAGCCACCTCTACAATCTTTCTCCAGCTCCCCCCAAAGTACAACTGAGCTTGGCAAACAAGGATCTGCCCCCCTCCCTGATCTGCAGTGCTGCTGGCTATTACCCTCTGGATGTGGTGGTGACATGGATTCGGGAGGAGCAGGGTGGAAGTCCAGCCCAAGTCTCTGGGGCCTCCTTCTCCAGCATCAGGCAAAGCATGATGGGGACCTACAGCATCTCTTCCACCGTGACAGCTGAGCCCGGCCTGGCAGGCGCCACTTACATCTGCCAAGTTACCCACATCTCCCTGGAGGAGCCGCTGAGAGTCAGCATGAGGGTTTTACCCGACACAGGTATTGAGAGTGTCCTATCTCTTCCTCCACTTGAGACTCCCCTACTTCCGGGTGCAGATGCCCATGCTCTTGCTCCGTTCCACCCTCACACTCTTGACTTACCTCTCCCAGAGTGGCAGCCACTATCGCTACAAATCCCTAGTCTCCAAGTAATAAGCTTGGGCTGGAGAGGCAGGTGCTGCTCCTTCCCACTAGGAGCTAGTTCAGCAAGAAGGGAACCCTTACGACCAGAGCACAGCCCATGTGAACACCAGATTGTACAATAGCCTACAGAACTTAGGGAGCATGGCTATAGCCGAGGGCGTATGAGAAAAGGAGCAAGAGACAATGATACTTCAGGGTAGTTACATCTGCACATTTACGTGACCAGACATTGGAAACTCCACTCTCTAGACTGTTTTTAATATTTCATGAGTTTGAGCGGTTTTTCCTGAATAGAAGTGCACCATGTGCATGTGACGCTCATGGAGGCCAGAAGGGGGCATCATATCCCCTCGGACTGGCGCTACAGATGGTTGTCAGCTACCATGTGGGGCTGGGAATGGAACCCCCCCCCCCCCGGGTCCTCTGCAAGAGCAACAAGTGCTCTTAACTGCTTAGCCAACTCTCCACTCCCAATATTCTCAACTTTTTAAGTATGATATCACACATTACACCTATTTATTTTTGGAACTGGATCTTACTGTTATTCAGGCTGGCCTCAAACTCCTCTGCCCAAGCAATCCTCCTACTCAGCCTCCCAAATAACTGGGACTACAGATACCATCGCCACGTCCAACACTTACAGATGATAAGCTGGTATTTGCAACACTGAGCAGTTTGCCCAAGGTTCTCCACCAGTAAATAGTGAACGAGAAAATGTGACCAGCAGGCAAGCTGAATGCCCTTACAAGCTTACGCCCTATAATCTCAATGGACCACATGCTAGAACTTCATCCCAAAAGCCACAGGATGTTGCAGTTTTAAGCAGAAAAGGATATGAACCTCAAAATGAAAGTATCTGAGAGCCCAAGACATCATTTGGTTGCTCACCAGACTATGAGCTTCCCCAGAGCTCAGATTTTGTTTGAGTTCACATTATTCCCAGCTATTTGCTGTTAGTTGCTCAATCTCTTTTGTGAAACATTTTCAAATGTCTGAGGTGGAATGGGGGATAGTGGTGTGTGTGTGCCCATAATCAGACTAGAAGCCTGCAGCAGGAGCCTAAGTTCAAAGCCAGTTTGGATGTCAGGGAGACCCTGTCTTAGAACAAATCCTGATGTGAAAAGAGGCAGAAAACAACACACAAATCTGAGTCTTGAACAAGGGCAGGCCCGCAGCGTGCGTGGGCCCAGGGCTCCCGTGGAGATGCACAGGCACCCACAGCAGTGCTCGGCTTCCTAAGGGGAGGGGTGCTCCTTCTCACCCACAGAGCCAACAACAGGCTTTGGAGTCTTCTTTGCCACCGTTCCCTTCGTTCTTGCGTTGTTGTTTCTGAAACTCTGGAGATAGCAAGGTGAGTCTGTATATGAACCCCACTCCTGAGTACCTGCCCTCCCCCCCACACCAGAGTTGAAGTCCAAAGTACTGGGTTCCAGGTATTTCCACTGTGTCCCCAATTCCTGCTTTTGGAAGTACCCCATTTGAAACCAATCTTCTTCTGTTTTCTCTCTGTTTTTGTGTCAAGACCTGCCATGACTATGAGGCACTCCAGGTAGCTGCTCTCTTGCTTCCAAGGAAAAAGCAGAGTACCCGTGTTCTAGCTACTGTAAGGACTCTGTGCTGAGCTGAAGACTGAAAAAGGCCTGAAGAAGGCACCATGTGGGAGTGAGGTGCTGGTCTCTGCCTTCCTTCCCTGTCGAGAAGACCCTGGGCTAATCAAAAGGGAGGCAACAACAGGAGGGCAGACTTGTCTGAGTGGAGGCTAATACCACAGTCAAAGGGAGCAAGTGAAGGGAGAGGGGAAGAGGGCAGGGCCGGCCACTGCTCACAAACTCCTGATACTGTCCAAATAAACGCACTTTGTGTCTACACAGCCAAGCTTTTCTACTTTCTTGTCTTTCTCCGTTGTCCCACCAGATCCCCGCGCCCCCATTTCTCACTGCTCCAACTTGCAACTTCAAGGTGTGAAGCAGGGGCCCTCAGAGGCCTGCCAGGGCTACACCCCACTGTGGTATAATCAGAAATTAAGGTTTGGACCCTTCCGACAGTTGCCAGGGGTTTGTGATTCTTAGGTGACACTCCCTCAGCTGTAGGAGGTTTCCTGTGTTCGTTTCTATGAGGTATGTTATGGATACACACAACTCGGCATATAAAAATTGTGGATTATGAAGTCTACTATCAAAAACACAAAACAGGGATGCTGGAGAGATGGCTCAGTAGCTAAGATTGCTCTTCCAAAGGGCCTGGACTTGGCTCTTGGCACCCACTTGGCAGCTCATAACCATCTATAGCTTATCCCAACACCCTCTTTCTGACCTCCTTGGGCATCAGGCGCATGCATGTGGTACACAGACACACATGCAGGAAAAGCAAGAATGCACACAAAATAAAAACAAATATATCTTTTAAAAAACATCTGTGTTTGTGCATGCCTGGGCGCGTGTCTGTGCACCACATGCATGAAGAAGTCTGCAGAGGTCAGAAGAGTCGCTAGAGTCATCCATGGTTGCGAGCTGCCATGTGGATGCTGGAGAGAGAAGCCGGGTCCTCTGGAAGTCCTCTTCAGATGCATCTACTTTATTGTTTTATGTGTATAAGCATTTTGTCTGCATGTATGTGTGCGCATCACCTGCATGCCTGGTACCAGAAGAGCATCAGCTCACCGGGGGCTGGAGTTACAGGTGGTTGTAAACCATCATGCGGGTGCTGAGAATCAAACGTGGGTCCTCTGCAAGAGGAACAAGTGCTCTTAACCCCAAGCCAACTCTCCAGTCCTAAACAGAATTTAAAAAACAAAACAGGGAAGCCGGGCGATGGTGGCACACGCCTTTAATCCCAGCACTCGGGAGGCAGAGGCAGGTGGATCTCTGTGAGTTTGAGACCAGCCTGGTCTACAGAGCTAGTTCCAGGACAGGCTCCAAAGCCACAGAGAAACCCTGTCTCGAAAAACCAAAAACAGGGGTGGTAGTATATGCATTTAATCCCAGCACATCAGGCAGATCTGAGTTCAAAGCCAGCCTGGTCTACAGAGTGATTTTCAAGACAGCCACGGCTACACAGAGAAATCTTGTCTTGAAAAAACAATAAAAATTCCCTGGGCTGACAGGCAATGTGCCTTTTTTTAATCCCAGCACTTGAGGGGCAGAGGTAGGCAGAGCTCTGAGTTTGAGGCCAGCTTGCTCTACAGAGTGAGTTCCAGAATAGCCAGGGTTGTGATACAGAGAAACCCTGCTTCAAAAAGAAAAAACGAAGAGAAAAGAAGAGAAAAAAGAAAAAGAAAAAAAAATTCCTGGGCTTAGAGCCACAGAGCAATGCCTTAAGGTGTTGGATGGGCTGGAAAGACTACAGAGCACTGGCTGCTCTTGAAGAGGTTTGCTTCCCAGCACCTACATGGTGGCTCACAACCATGTGTAAATCTATGGGATCCGATGCCCTCTTCTGGGTGCCAGGCACACATGGTGTAAATAGATGCATGCAGGCAAACGCTCACATGCTTACAATAAACAGGAATCGGTCCTAAAGCGAGCTTGCTATTTCAGAAGACCTTAGTCTGGAGAATGTATTTAAGAGACAAGCACAGTGGTGCACACTGGAAACCCCTGTCCTGAAACACTAAAAATAAATAAATAAAAATTAATTAGAAGGGAGGAGCAAACTATGCATGAGGACGAGAAAAAGGAGGTAAGGGCTGGAAGCCTCATCTAGGCACAAGCCGTAACGGACGATAAGCAGGTGGAGGCAGCCGGGAGAGGCCTGAAAAAGCCTGCCGTTGTTTGCCAGTGTGAGTGCCCACTCCGCTTCCTGTCATCACTTCCTCTCACCAGCACCTGCACGGGCTGGGCTGCTTCATGTACGAAGGCTAAGAACACAGACCACTTCCTCTGCCAACACAGAGACTTTAATTTCCAGGAAGACCGAAGAACACACACCAGGCAGCCCTTCTGGCCTACAGCCAACCTAGGATGACACCCTCTTCTCCCCATCCCCGGCACAACCACCCAAACAACAACCAAAATGATGTTGTGGAAGGAATTTGTATTTTTCGCCGTCGCTGAGAATACATGAAATTGGTAGATATGTCACATGCCTTTGGTGGAAATACAACTCTTACTGCTCTATACATAAACTATGAGACTGGGTTAGGAAAAAGACAGAGGCAATGACAGACACAATGGAAACCCCACATCGTCTCATGACAAACCAAAGAAGGGGATGTGGGAAGCTTGGCTTCACTGGCTGCAAAGTCCCAGGGTTAGAGGCATACTTGCTCATGCACATGGGTGGTGGGAGGAAAGAGACTGCAAAGACACAGAAGAGGGCTCGGGGTGGGGTGAGAAAGAAAGTAAAAGGGCTAACACCCCAAAAGAACAAAACCAACTACACCTGGTAAGCCTTAGTGGGACAGAAACCCAGGAATGAATTCCCGTGCTAGGATTGGGTGGGCCAACCGGGTAAATTTGCTCCAGGCTCAGAGTACATCGAGGACAGTGTCGGTTCTTCTCCAGCGGTGACCCCCCCTGCACTAGGCAAAGAGAAGCCTAGAGGATAGTGGAGAACTTCGGGGGGACGGACGTTGGGAGAGTACACTGACTGCTTTCTTCAGCTCTTCAGTCCCGCCCTGAGGCAGGACGAAGGGAATGTGAGAAATGGGCAAAGGGAAAGAAGGATGGTTTTGCAGAGTGAAATGCTGCTGCGTGGAAAGCGGGCACGCGGGCTGGCACGGCCCCAGCCTCCTCCTGCTTGTGGACCAGAGGGCAGAAGTAATAAAGTCCTGAGAGCACCCCCTCCTGCACTCCCCCCAGCACCTGGGTTTATGGCATGCGCATCCTCTGTGAGGCTCAGCAGCAGCTCCCATCCTCAGGTTTCAGCCTCTATTCGCACAGGGCATGCAAAGGGAGTGGAGGAGAGGAGGCAATGCAGAATTCAGACAGGGGAGGATGGTTCCAGAGAAGATACTGAAGGAGGAGAAGCAGACAGCTCCAGATGCGAGGCCCCATGCTGGCACAGCAGTGCGCAGCACACCTGTCACGGGCACAGTGCGCAGCACACCTGTCACAGGCACAATGCGCAGCACACCTGTCACGGGCACAATGCGCAGCACACCTGTCACGGGCACAATGCGCAGCACACCTGTCACGGGCACAGTGCGCAGCACACCTGTCACGAGCTGGCACCCCTCCCATCCAAGACTGAGCTGCGGGCTTTGCTGGAAAGGCCTTCCTGCCACATCCCTATGTCAGGCAAGAATGAGAGAAAGGTGTGGAGGAAGGGGTTCTGTGGGAGCCTGGGAGTCTCACCATTTCGCACCCAGTCCCCATTATCAACAGCAAGGGAGGCTGAACTTCAATAACGAGATGGCAAGAAGCATGTTCCCAAACGCTTGCTGTTTCAAAGCTGATTGGAATCATTTGGTGCCCTCATGAGCAACATAGAACAGTTCAGAAAAGATGAGGAGACAGCGGCTCCTCCTAGACAGAAGCATGTGGGATGGCTTCTAGGAAGATGTAAGAGTCTCCTACTGTTTTTATAATCAGTGAGTACTTGTTTTCTAGGCCCACAGAGAACAATGTCTAAGGCTGTAAAGTTCCCCAAAGACACAGAACATCTTACACTGACAGACAAGCAGTAACTACAAAATTCCAGTTTGACTTCTGTCTTTAAACAGACCTCTGGGACCCGAGACAGGCTTGGTATGAGAGAAAGGTTCCAGGGTAGTGGTTACCAACTATTATATAAAACAGGCAGCAAGTCATTACTTCCCAAGTAGTCTGGGTCCCTCGTGCTGAAGGCCAGCCTAGCTGGAGACAAACACCCTTCTCCTTCCCTCGGCCATGCCAGCTTCTCAGACACTTCACCTCTGCCATCCCCAATGTCCTCCCTCCCCTGGCCACAGCACTTTTAAGCTGGGGTGAAGAGGGGGTGCCAGCTGTTGCTCTTTGGGTAGTGACGTCACGACCAGCCACGCGCAGCATTTCTAGTGTGAAGGAAGAGTGCAAATGGTTGCAACAGAAAAGGAGGCATGGGTGACGGAGAAGCCTGGGCTAGAGTGGAGACAGGCAGATGAAGGGGTTGGCTGAGAGAGCAGACAGGAAGAAAAAGACATGAACTTGGATGGCAATGAAGAACAGGGACGGGATGGCACATTCTCAAGTAAAAAAGTAGACTGGACACAGGAATCAGGAAGTCCCAGACGAAGAAGAAAAAAGAGACAGGAGAAAACAAGAGGGCAAGTTACATCGCGTTACTAGACAACCAGGTCTCTCAGTTACAGGCAACCCAGTCCCAAGGTCTCCCTGGGACACAGGCAGAGACAAACAGCACAGCCACACTTCTCAGCAGAAGGGGCCATCTTCCTACAATTCTTTGAAGGGGGAGGCTTGTCCGGCAAGGAATCTCCTTGTCTTTGCCCTCCCTCCCCCCACCAACCAGGCGATGATCCCACAGCAGCGGTCTCCATACCTCAGTCAGAGCAGCCCCACTCCCCAGCAGGCAGGCAGGCAGGCAGGCAGGCAGGGCTGGGAGAAGACTCCAGGACCTTCCCACCTCTTCACCCCATGGCAACCTCAGGGATACTTACTTACAATAACGACCACGATGATGGCACAGATAGCTCCCAGCATGATCATCATCTGAGGAGACATGACAGAGCATGAGCCCTTGGACTCAGGAAGGAAGAAGGGAACGAGACTAGAGACTAGAAGACATCCACAGGCTTCTGCTTCTCCCAGGCTCAGAAAGACAGAGCACAGACTCTCAGCCTTGTTTCTGCTTAGCTCCTGATGCCTGTTCATTCTTTCTTGGAATTCCAATTGAAAGGCAAATTTTGTGAAGTGTTGGCTACGTCTACAGACATTGTAATACATGTACTGAGCCAGGGTGTTGCTGTTGGGGGTCTGAAGAAGAGCCAGGCGAGAATTTCTGGAAAAAAAGCTACTTCACTAGCCTAAATTCTAAATTCCTCTACACAGGGCTTTCTCTGTGGTTCTGAATACTCTAGCCTACCCTGGCGGCCAATGCAGGTAATGCATATCAAGGAGGTGTGCAGACCTCGGAGGGAAAAGCAGGCGAGGGCAGGGAGGCGCACCTTGCAGTTTTTCCACCAGTACTTCCTTTTCAGCTTGGCAGCGCTGCTCTCAAACTGTGACGCTCCGGCCTGCAAGGCGTCAGCTCGGTCATCCAACTCTGACAGCTTCTGGTCCCTCTCTAGGACCTTGTCCACATTCACACGCATGATGTCCACCACCTGAGGGGGTGCAGGAACAGACCTTCTGAGATTTCCCTACTAGAGACAGAGGAAATGAGCAATGCCCGGGAGATCACAAGCCAAGGCCTGTGAGTCCAAGGGCTGTTTGGCCCTGTATAGAAGAGAACAGATGAGATGATGCTTTCTGTTCCCGAGATTCTCGGTTTAGAAACTCTCGGGGACTGGCCAGGTACCTACCTCCTCCACTTGTGCCTGGGTTTGCTGTAGTCGTCTATTACTGGTCAAATTAGGAGGAGGACCAGGAGGACCTCCACCTGGGGCGGCCCCTTCTGTTCCCTCAGCGGGCGGCTGAGCTGGAGCAGACCTGTGGAGAGAAGCAAACAGTACAGTGACTGAGATAAGGAGAGACTCACAGGCATCGGCACGTACTGCCAAGCAAAGCGTGAATGCAGACAAGAGAACTGTTTAGCTCCTCTGCAATCCCAAGAGCTGAGATACAGCCTAGAGACACGGGGCAGAGCACGAAAGATCTCCTGCCATTCGGATGAGGGTCGCAGTGCCATTAAGAGATCTTGATTGGGGCTACCCTGTGATGTAAACTCAGGCACATCCTCTGGCAAATGGCCATAGGAACAAACACGCCAGCCTTGACCTAAATGGAATTTGCCTGGCCACTAGAAGTTCTTCCCATGAAATAAAACAGGAAAACCCAAGCCAGAAGAGAAAAGATTTGTAGAAAAGACTAAACTGTGAGGACAGTTGTGCTCTGGTTGGAGTATGACGGGGCAAGCTTGTGGGGGGTCCGGCCACAGTTAGGTTTTCTACTATAATTGGTGCATGACAGCTGCTGTAAAAACAATCTGGAGGCTCACCAAAGGCAACGTCTGCATAGACGGAGTGAGTCAGGGATATTTGCGTTATTTTTGGCAGAGAGAAGATAGGGGTTTCATTTAAATTGAATCTGGGGCTTAAAGCAATTACATTAATTGTTCCAAGAGCACAGACCCAAAGTAAACGCTAGAAATAATCTTCCCTGCACATGCAGCACCGTCGTCCCGTCCTTCTTCAGACTCAGCAGAGTCTCAGGGTGCTGCCCTGGGCCTGGGTCCGGAGAAAAGCTTGAACTGCGCTACTGCGCAGCATGTGAGGACGAGCCCCTCTTCCCGCACTGACGGCCGAGAGGGGATGATTCTGAGTGGGCTTGGTCTTGTCTTTGGTTTTGGTTTTTGGTTGGTTGGATTTTTTTCTTTTCTTATGTATTTATTATTTAAACAAATTTAGAGGCAGGTATTTCCTGTTCCCTAGCTGTCCCAGAACTCTCTCTGTAGACCAGCCTAGCCTAAAACCGAGATCCACCTGCCTCTGCCTCCCAAGTGCCAGGGTTAAAGGTGTGCGCCCACATGTGTAGTAAATGCGAGGTCTTTAAGAAAAACTTGTCTCTGACACTCACCAGCTAAAAGTTCCCAAAATCAAACCTACAAAAGGAGATTTTTTTTTCCCTTCCATGTGGAGGCTTCACAAGCAAGGTAAAGAGAGATATCTAAAATTTGATGGAGAATAGAAATTTCTTAAACTCCATAAAACATCCTTGCCAGAGAAGTCCAAGAATAAATAAGGTAGAAGTTAAGCCATCATGAAGTTGCCAAAAAAGTAAATTCCTTGATTAATCACAATAGAATTAATACATTGAATCTCCTTTTCCATAACTAAGTAACTTTCTTCTAGACAAGATGCTCTCGCCCCTCGAGAGGCCATATTCAGATTACATTGGCTTCTTCCATTTAAAGAGTCACTTTCCCACGTCCTCCCTAGACACTGAGGAAGGAAAGGAATATGCAGAGCCGCGGGAGCCACAAGGCTTGCGCTGCTATTGAGCGAGCTAAGCAATCTAGTTCTAGACTGAGGGCAGGGATTCCAATGAGTTGGTAGCAGCTAGTGTTGGAAGGAGTCCAGGATGGTGGCACCAATGACAAGACTAAGGTCAGAGACCTCGTGATTCCCAGCTAGCCATCATGCTTTCCCTACCTCCTCCAGCCTCATACATGAAATGACCTGGAGCGAGTCGGCTACAAAGGGCCCCTCCCCAAATAAAGTAGCTTGTCAAAAACGCACAAAACGTTAAAACCACAAAACCCAAAAAGAAAGGATGGGATGACTGTGAGCTTTTAGAGGGCTCACTTCACTTACTACTTGTTAGGAGCTGGAAACACTCCACATCAACCTACCCAGGGAGTTATAATCCTTATGTAATACAAGTCACTCCTTTTTTTTTTTTTAATCATCAAAAGAAGCAACACAAACCGAGTGGCGCACACCTTTAATCCCAGCACTTGGGAGGCAGGGGCAGGCAGATCTCTGAGTTAGAGGCTAGCCTGGTCTATGGAGGGAGTTCTGGGACAGCCAGGGTTACACAGAGAAACCTGGTCTGGAAAAGCCAAACAAGGGAGGGATGGAGAAAGGGAGAAGGGAAAAGAGGGAGGGAGAGAGGGAAAATGTAAGCACACACACAGAAATACATCTAGCACTAGGCAAGCGATCCAGGCAATGAATAGAAAGGAAATCCTTCATTATGTGTATGTGATCATGAAGTGAGTTCTTAATTTATCTAGCCACAGATCTTCAGAAGACGGTGATGCTGAACACAACTGAGACGAACTATGTGTTTTGGATGAAATGAAGAATTAACTGGCCTCCCTAATTCTCCTCCAGTACTTGGCTAGGGCTTGATCACTGGAAAGCACCTTAGCATAAACGGCTGCATCTCTTGCCACTGTCCCCTGAGACTTTCTGAGCGGCTCACAAGGCGCCACAGAACTAGCAAGTAAGTTTCTGCAGCTTTGCTCGCAGCCATGGGGCAGGTACACCACACTTTTTTGGGTGAGGGGCATGCAGAAACCCAGAGACTGCAGGCAACCCGAGTTACTACGCACGGGTGCACCAATAAATCTTCCCAGAGGCAGATTCTGTCAAACAAGAAGGGTCTCCCAGTTCCCTGCCCGTTATCTATACCTCCCCCAATTCTTCCCCTTTGGGCTTCCACGATACAAAGACGAGAGGAGAGGATGCAATGAACGTGGGACCCCCGCGCCCCTGCCCTGCAGAGGAGTGCCGACTGCAGTTGGTGCGGGATGGAGCGCTGCCCGCATCCCGGGGTGGCCCGGTCTGGGGGCGGCGCGAGCTGGTGGTTCCCGGCGTCGCTGCAGCTGCTGCAATGCGCCATTTTCCGTCCCGCAGAGTTGGACACTGCGGAGGGAGAGTCCGTAAGGAGGTGTCGAGGACCCTAGACCAGAGTCAACTCACATTTTTCTGATAGAGGAAGTGGAGGTCCGTCCCTCTCTGGAGAATGCAACGAGACAGATAGGGAGCCGCTGCGGATGAAGCAGATGGAACTGCGGAGCTCCGCCTCACACGCGCTACCCGGAACTCTAACTGCTGTGGAACTTACTGCAGGTGCGGCGCCGACTCCCGGCTTTATTAGCGATGACCACGCCTCTCGGGTGACGTTGAAACCTCTAGATCCAATCCACGCGGGGTATGTCCTCCCAGCCCCGCCCCTTCAGCTACACCAATCACAGCTCTCCTCTCATTCATTGCTCCTCCTTCACCGGCCAATACAACGGTCGTTGTTTAACGTCCAGCTCAGACTCAGCGCTTGAGTTAGGCGGTTTGTGGCGCCTGCCAACCAATCGCTGAGCCGGAGGCTCCTGCCACTCTTACTGCGCCCGCCCACAGCACCTGGCGAAAGGAAACCCAGGTGACCTGGACCCTGGAATCCTCCGGGCTGCGGTGGCTCAGCATGGGTGCAAATTCATGGCGCATCGGCTAGACGGCCCTCCTGCCACCCTCTCCGCTTGAGAACGTAAAGCCAAATGTTTTTTTTCAATATAGCCTCTCCTAAATGAACTTCGTCCTAAACTGCTCCGTCTAGGTTACCACAGCGACTTAGTTAACCCAGCCCAGAAACTAGACTTCCCAGTTTTGGGGTTTGGTTGGTTGGTTTTGTTTTGTTTTCTCTTTCCTTTTTTTTTTAAAAAAAAAAAAAAAAAAAAAAAAACTTTTTTTCTCATTTATTTTTACTTTATGGTACAAATTTTTGCCTGCATGTATGCTTGCCTAGTGCCCTTGGAGACCAGAAGAGGACTTCCCTGAAACTTGATTTACGGATGTTTTTGTGTGCACGTGGGTGCCTGAGTGCTGAGATCTAAACCCTCTGCAAAAGCAGTATCTTTTCAACCATTGAGCCATCTCTCTGCAGCTCCACCCCTTCCCCTTTACACCACCTCCAAAAACTCATTAAGGAGTAGATTTTTCCTTTGTGGGGAGGGGACTGTTAAGAAGGTTTCTCTATCCTGGCTGTCCTGGAACTCGCTTTGTTAGGCTGGCCTCGAATTCACCGAGATCCGTCTGCCTCTGCCTCCCAAATGCTGGAATTTAAGGTGTCCACCATTACCTCCTGGGCTGATTTTTCTTTCTTACTATTTAAAAAAAATTTTCTTCTTTCTTCCAATAGTATCCCTTTCCTAGACATCAATTGTAAAACTCAACATTATTTTATGCCTCACATCTTAAAAAGCAGTTATACATGTGATTTTTTTTTTTCTTTTTGTTTTTTCTAGACAAGGTTTCTCTGTAGCTTTGGAGCCTATCCTGGAACTCGCTCTGTAGACCAGGCTGGCCTTGAACTCACAGAGATCCACCTGCCTCTATCTCCTGAGTGTTAGGATTAAAGGCAAGCACCATCACCGCCCAGCGTGATGCATTTTCTTAGCCCTGGAATTTTTAATTTACATTTATTGAAAGCTTGGATTTGTCTTCAGTGTAAATTTTTATCTCACCCTTGGTCATTCATACAAAGGAAAATGGAAAATAATAACATAATAATGGAACACCTACAACTTCACATTCAGAGGCTTTTTTATTTGTTTATTTTTTAAAGAGGCTTGTGTAGTCCAGTATGGCTTGGAACATATATAACCAAGAATGACATTGAAATTCTGGTCCTCCCTACTTCCACTTTCTGAGTGCTGGGATTACGGATGGACACACTACCTTCCTTGCCAGAATGTTTGAGTCACACTCAGTGTCTTTTACATGCCAGCAAATTACTCTGCCAACTGAGCCCCGGCCCCACCCCCAAGCCCAGTTCTCAGCAATTCCTAGTTTTCCCTTGGGTGGATGTTCACATGCTAAGTCTTCAGTGGTGCAGCATTTCCCAAGCGGCTAAAGATAGCCCTCCTCTCCCTCTGGAATGTTCTTTCAAGCCTCTGGCATCCATTTTCCAAGGTTTAGTGCTCTTGAGCAGGTATGACAAACACAGTGTGGTTACTACCTAAGAGCTACAGCAAAGCACCCCAGTTTAATAGATGCCAAAGAGCCAAAAGAAAGAAAGGAAAGGGGGACACACTAGGCTCAAGCCTGTGCCCAGTCTTGTTATCAGGGTACCTATCTAAATACCGTAATCACCATGCGTGGCATTTATTTTTCTTTTTTAAAATTCTTACTTTAAATCCTATTTTTGGTTTGTTTTTCGAGACAGGGTTTCCCTGGCTGTCTTCAAGCTCAGAGATTCAATTCCTCTGCATCCAGAGTGCTGGAATTAAAGGCGTTCGCCAGCAGGCCTGGCTCTTAGATCTTTTCGCCTCAGGCAGGCTGTGACTGGGTTTGGTTTTCTGAGATGGATCAAGTGATGCTCTGGCTTCAGCCCTCCCGGTGCTGAGATGACACTGAATGGCATCTTAAAATGATGCTCTTGAGTTGACAAGAAAATCAGCATGGTCTCAAGACCAACAGGAGCGGAAGCTGATGATCCTCCAAGAGGCAGCTGAACATGGAGCACGGTGGCCTCGTGGGTGCCACTGTACCCTAGGAAACAACACGAAGGTCTTTCTCAAAGTGAGAAGTCTAATAGCAAGTCCCTGCGTGAGGCGGGAACCCCTATGTTGGCAACTAAGAGGTTTTAAAGAGATGCCACTCAAGTGTTCTGCAAATGAAATTATTGGCAAACTAGGTGCCTGTTTAAGCTCTCTCTCTCTCTCTCTCTCTCTCTCTCTCTCTCTCTCTCTCTCTCTCTGCCTCTTCTTGTCCTTTTGAATATCTGAATTCATAACCTCGAACTGTTTTTAATACTTTTGCCTGAAATCCTTGTTTTAGTCACTTTTGAAAGCTTTAGCGGCTTCTCTTCCTAAAACCAACATGGCAAGAATTTCCAAGTGCTCTGGGGTTGACAAGCACCCAGCACCAGCAGGAGCAACGCACACCTCCTTGGTGAGCTCCCTTGCAATAGAGGCCTTGGGGAATTTCCACAGAGACAGTTCCAAGAGAAATAAACTGTGGTCAGATGCTGAAAACAAATCAGGGAAGAAATGCCAAGAATCAGGGAGGCAGACACAGGAATTAAGGAAATTAAAAAAATCATGCCAAGCAGTTCAATGTCTGAGTAATAAAGGATCTAAAAAGGAGAAAACAGGATATATGAGAAAAGGAAATGAATGGCTATGGAGTTAATTATAAAATAAATGCAACAAAAACTTTCAGAATTAAATGAGCCTTTGCAGACTAAATAATGGCTTCTAGCTACCACAGTGAAAGAAAAAGAATCATACCAAAGACACTTTCTGTAATCTCAGAACAAGGGAGAAAAACAAAGGGTCTTAAAATCTTTCAAAAGGAGAATACAAATGGAACAGAAAAGAAAATGGCACCCCAATACAGGAAAACATGACAGTGGCTCCTTTAAAAGCAACAACTTCCAGGGGCTGGAGAGATGCTCAACAGGTAAGAGCTGCTCTTCCAGAGGATGCAGATTAGTTCCCAACACCCACATGGTGCCTCACAACCATCTGCAACTCCAGTTCCAGGGGATCTGACACCCTCTTTTGGCCTTACAGGCACTGCACACGCATGCACATACATACCCAGAAGCAAACATGCCCACACATATACATAAAATAAATACTTTTACCTGGGCAAAATGATTATTAGCCTAGAATTCTATAACATCTCAAGTATTGATGAAAATGAGAGGAAACGGGCTGGAGTCATATCCCTGTAATTTCACCACATAGGAGAGAATGGATAAGAGAATCACTTGAGGCCAGATCAAATCAGCACCACCTGCCCTGACTAGATTAGGAGGAAGTACACCCTATGATGAACAGTTCCCAGGCAAGTATCTGACAGCTTAGGTATTTGAAAGCTGTTTTGGTTGGTTTTCTAACGCCATTACAAAACACTATGACCAAGGCAATTTATAAAAGAAAGCATTTAAGCCTTTAATCCCAGCACTTGGGAGGCAGAGGCAGGCGGATCTCTGTGAGTTCGAGACCAGCCTGGTCTACAGAGCTAGTTCCAGGACAGGCTCCAAAACCACAGAGAAACCCTGTCTCGAAAAACCAAAATAAAAAAAAAAAAAAGCATTTAATGTTTGGGCTGTGGTGTAAATTGTTTGTGTTGTGAAATACTGCTTTAACTGCGTAAAGGTGTGTTACATTTGTTTAACTATGTAAAGATGTGTCACATTTGTTTAATTCTGTAAAGATGTTGCTGTTTTATCTTGCCTGCATAAGGAACCTAATTGGTCTAATTAAAAAGCTGAATGGCCGGACTGGAGAGATGGCTCAGAGGTTAAAAGCATTGCCTGCTCTTCCAAAGATCCTGAGTTCAATTCCCAGCAACCACATGGTGGCTCACAGCCATCTGTAATGGGGTTTGGTGCCCTCTTCTGGCCTGCAGGCATATACACAGACAGAATATTGTATACATAATAAATAAATAAATAAATATTTTTTTTAAAAAAAGCTGAATGGCCAGTACTTAGGCAGAGGAGGCATAGGCAGGGCTGGCTGGCAGAGAGAATAAGTAAGAGGAGGAATCCAGACTCCAGAGAGTGAAGAAAGAACAAATAATAAGCCAGGGTCAGTCAGGCAACTGCCAGACAGAGAGACATGGAAGAAGCCAGAAAAGTAAGACATACAGAATGAAAGAAAATTAAAAAAAAAAAATCCCAATGGCAAAACATAGTGGAAAGAAACAGGATAAAGTGAGTTATAGGAGCTAGTGGGACAAGCATAAGACCGAACATTCATAATTGAGAAGTCTTTGTGTCGTGATTTGAGTGACCCAAAAGGAAGGCTGCTACAGGGGTCTCACCGTTCCAGAGGGTGAAAATGACAACCATGGCAGGGAGCATGGCAACAGGCTAACTAGATCCTTTGTCTGGCCCACAGACATGAGGCAGGGATGCGGAGAGAGCTAAATGGGAATGGCTGGGTTTTCTAAACTGCAATACCTCAGAACGGAGTATAATAAAGTGTTCTTTATTTAGGGGTAGACCCACAAATTAATAGTCCTCTGCACAAGCGGGAAACAGGAACTGAATCCAGAAGCCAAGAGAGAGAACACACACTTCTACATCTATCTTTATAGTATCCAAGACT